CCTAGTAGTATGGCCAGGAGCCCCTAGTAGCGTCCTTGCTCCTAGTACATCATGCTAGTTCAGGTCGATCACGACATTCTAGATCCGGAACTTCAAGGCGATTGGGGGAGGTGTGGGCGTGGTGTCACCGATGGTCTGTGGACTAGATGTGTCCGTTAAGGCGAAGATTCACAGGTTTTGCTCAGAAGGGTGAAGTCGGGTAACTGCTTTCAAGCTGCGGTTTGGCACAAGTTGCATGGCCTCAGATCTCTTTGTTTACCATTCTGGAGTTTGTAACATATTGTGACATGTGTCAGCTTTCAGCTCTTTAGTATTCTTTTGGGACATAATATGAATCTAGGAACCAAAATGAATAGCGCGCGCGCGCTTTTCCTTGTCTGACTCTGCTGCGGTGACTTGTGGCCACTCGCCTTTGCGTGTTTTTTCTCGCGGCGGAGGTTCGATTGCAAATGCCTTGAAGACCATCGCAGATGTCCAAGCCTCGAAAGGTGAAACGACGACAAAGCGCCTTCCTTTAATTTAATTTATCAGAATTCCGAATTCCTCAAGAGAAGTGACGAAGAATTCGAAGTCGAGTGCAAAACCTGGTTGCAGTCGCCTCATCACTTCAGCTCAGGATGAAAAGCTGGTCGAGGTGGATCGTGCTGCCGGGAGACCTGACATTTGTGTCGAAACTACATGGGATTTGCAATCAACTCGCAGGGGGTTGTTTTTCACGCTAGTAAGGAGGGTCCATTCATACTCTGGGGTTATGTGATTATTTGGGGATATTTCGGGTATCTCCTTAAACTATGAGGCCCGCGGCCTGCTTTTTTTGGAATCAATGTTCAGCGGGCTGGATACATGATAGAAGTTAAGAATAGCATCTCAGAACAGCAAAGTCAAGTTTGTTCCGAGCTTTTGCTTTTACGGTGTGCCGTTCGGGCTTTTCGCAGCTCATTCACATGAACGGAACGTAAATGAACGTGCCTTGGTGGAGGGGATTAGAACTCAAAGTCTCCGGCGTTAAGCACAACGTTCGTGTCAACCACGCCTCGTGCACCGAAAACTCGAGGTCTTCATGCAGGATGGTATGACCATCACCAGAAGCAGTCCGCATGAGGCAGCGATGCTTTTACTCAAGTCTTTGGTCAACGGATGGGAACCGAGGTTGACCGGTTCACCGGAACGCACGGCACGGATTGACCGATGCTTCCGTTGTGGACAGGTGCAGCAGGAAGTCAATCGCCATTCTGCTTGGGAGTTAGTGGCTGAGGACTCTAGCTTCCTCACATCCGTAGCACGGGGCCTTTGCTTCTTTTGCCTTTGTGTTCACATTTTTTCCACTATTTGTGTCTTGTCTTTTCTACGTGTTTTTCCCTTTTGTTCAGACTGAAAAACCGAGTCAAGTCTGACAGCGGCAGGACTTGGTCCGGAAGCGTTTTGGGAACTCCAGCGCCGCGAAGGGTCTTGAAGCCTTGCTGGGCGAGGCCCGTGCTGCTGAGGCTGGGACGGGATGATCGCGGTGGTTCGGGAATGACATTTTGGACTGAAAGATGACCAACTGGCGGTCTTGGGATCTGCAAGATGCTTGGGATTCTTTACCCAAGGCTCACAAGAAACAACTGTTGAGTATTGCGACCTTGTTCATTTCCAGGTCCATTTGAATACCGCTTGCATTCTTCTCTTGGCGACAATTTCAAGAAATGAAGGTCACCCGAATAGACCTTGTTGCGACCCTATTGAAGCTTCCAGTTGGCTAGGAGTGTAAACTGAAAGAGGATAGTGAGACATCCGAAGCATTTGCATGTTACTTGTGGCGTTTTTTTGTTTTTTTTCGAATGTATCACAAGAATGTTTTGCAATTGCGAAAGGTGTCGATGACCGACTGGCAACATTTGGCACTTGCCATTGCTGCTTTGACGTCGTGGCCTCACCAGGGAACATCAGGGAACATGTGGGAGCAGGAAGAATATTGCAGGGGGTACAAAACATAGTTGAAGGTAAGCTGTTTCATCAGTAAGTCAGTAAGCTTAAATCATTTTCGCTATAATCACTTGCCCCACAGCAAGGCAGGCCATATGTGCCTTGGGATTTGCGCAGAAAGCTTGAGCATTTTTCTCCGCTCGTTTGAAGTTGCAGCTGAGATTAGGAGATCATTGGACTTGCGAGATGCCACTTGAGACAGAAACGAAACACAGCAGGATTTGCATCCGGAATGCTATTTTTCAACGCAAGTAACATTTTTTGGGACACCCAGAACCTATTGCGACATCCTCTTTGCCAAGCTCAGAAATTACTCTTTGTGAACCAAATGAGCTTACATTGAGATAGCTATAAGGCTTTAGTATACTTTCATAAGTTATTAAGACTTTAGTGCTTCACCACTCAAAAACGCAGAAGTATCAGGTGCTCTCTTTCGGCACTCGAAGTGTTTGCAGCCATGGCGCGTACAGCGCCGGCACTGACGGCGCTGCAGCGAAGGGCGGCAGAGCGAAGCTATCCGTCCCTTGGACAATCCAAGAGGTCAAAAAAACAAGAATGGCTAGTAATAGCAATGGCCTCCACCTACTAGCCATGGCCTCCAACCTAATAGCGATGGCCTCCACCTACTAGCGATGGCCTCCGACTTGATAGCGACGGCCTCCAACCTTTTCGAAAAAGACTTGCGAGCCAAATCCTAGGACGTAGCGGAAGTCCAGAAATTACTCGACACATACTTGACGGGGTTTTGTATTTTTCTATATAGAGGCTTTGACTTACGTTGTGGGTACACACAGCAATGAAGCTTGAACTATCAAGTCACTGTTTGCACTAATTATGTAATTTTTGAAGTGTAGATAGGCAGACATTCTCCGAACTTTGACAGTTTCTGGGTTTCTTTGGTTCTTCTCTCGGTTTGTCTGTCTTTATCTTTTCCATTTTCTTCCTTTTCTCTTGCACCTTACTTTGAAGACATGAGGCCTGTTCCTCCACGGTGCTGTGTCACTGGTGGTAGTGGCTTCGTTGGTCAACGACTGGCTCCTTGTCGGACAAAACATCTTGACAGCGTCGCGTCTTGTACTGTGACTTGGTTTCAAAGGCATTGGTCTTGGCGTTGCTTGGAGCAAAATGTCTTGTACAACCAGCTAAGTCTCTGTTTGGACCTTCTGTCTGTGTGTCATCATAAAGACCTACTACAACCTTGCGACCTTCCTCAAAAGAATCCTTTTGAGAAGATGTGTTTTTGCCCCGATAAAAAAGAAGAACGCCGCATCGCCCGACCGCGTCTCCGTGTCGGAGCGAAGGTCGAAATGTTGGTGGAACGCGGCGCTGAGCGGGTGGTCTCCTTCGACATTTTGCCGCAGCCGCCCTCTGCGTGGCAGGACCTAAAGCAGTCGCAGAGGTAGCTCATTTGTTGTTCCTTGCATGCTTGGCACCAGAATTAGTGGATTTGTTGGATCCAAGACTTGTTGCCATTTGCAGCATTGCTACGAAGATTTCGAGCAGGACTCCCGAATTGCCATGGCCTTAGCCGTTGGGGATGGATTTCAAAACCTCGGCCCTTGGCCATGGACCGATGTTTTCATATGCAGACACTGGACCAGCTCTTAGGACTACTATCAAGTGTCTTCCTTGCAAACTCGCTTCTTAGGAGAAACCTTTCGCCCGAAGAACTACCAAGAGCCGGTAACTGCAAAGCTGACCTTAGGAGCAAGGACGCTAGTAGGGGCTCCTGGCATCGCTACTAAGAACAAGAAGCTACTAGGGGCTCCTGGCCTTACTACTAGGAGCAAGGACGCTACTAGGAGCAAAGGGCATCGCTACTAATTCTGTTGTTGTGTGGCTAGTCTCGATCCCGAGGTTTACATGCAAGGCGACTTGCGCAGTATGGAGGACGTGTCCAAGGCTGTCAATGGAGCAGACTGCGTTTGGCATGTCGCTCCCCAAGAGCCGAGGATCGCCATGTTCCTGTTGGCTGTTGTTGGCTGTTGTGGGAATCATTCGGAGTTCTTTGTAGTTTCATGACTTGGAGTCACTGCACGCAGCACAAAGAGAGAGAGAGAGAGAGACTCGGTAATTGGGTGGGGACAGAGGTGAGGAAGATTGAATGCTGGTCATCGACTCAGGCAAGCAGACTAAGTCGTTGCCGAGCTGAGGTTGGTGCAGCTGTGGGCCCCTTCCATCCCAGCTCGTTATACGAGGAGCACCATTGAAAAGACTTCCTAAGCAAATCTCTAAAGGTGCAAAAATAAGAGGGTACAAAGAGGATATAAAAGGGAGCCTCCTTCACTTATTGGAAGTCTTACACAAGCAGAAGTGCTGAAGACACCCGTTGACCGTTCCGTTCGCGCTCAACACTTGACCCCCGCCGCATCTCAAAGCACATGCCGTCGAGTCGTCGAGTCGTCATGAGTGGAGCCTTTCGGTTGAAGGCACCTGTTACTACTAATAAGGCACTTGTTACTAGTAGCTTCTTGCTCCTAGTTTTCTCGACAGCCTGGGCCCCCAGGATGTGAATGTGGGCGGCTGCCGTAATGTGGTGCAGGCCTTTGGCAGATTCATTTCTCAAATGAATCTCGCACATTTCGGACGTCTGCGTGGTATCCGCAGAATTGAGCGTTGCATTGATTTCATTCACCAAACGCGCCCATTGGCCTCTCCACCGGTCCTGGCCCACACGCGAATGTGTACGCATTGCACACGACGCAAGGCCTGTTTGGAGGCGAAGGTCCCAAAGTTGGTGATGTCGTCCTCGCCCTCCACACGCTTCGATGGCAGTGATATCGACGGGTCACTTGGACCAAGAGCGCCCTATGCACCAATCTGCCACAGTATTTGTTTCTTGGTTGGGGGGGTTAGGTTAGGTTGGAGGCCATTGCTAGTAGGGTGGAGGCCATTGCTAGTAGGGTGGAGGTTATTGCTAGTAGGTTGCGGGGGGGCTAGGTAAGATAGCCAGCAGCAGTTCAGGGAACGGTTCCTCGTTTGACTTTTTGAGAAACTAGCTTATTTTAAGGTTTCCACACAATGTCCACCAGACTGTCCTGCGTAGAGTCAGTCTGGGCACATGCGACCATTAAGCCGGTTGTATTTTTGTGCTAATTGCTTCAAGGGAACATTCCATAATCTTTGATGATTGATGTCTTTCAAACAAGACATCTTGCAATACCTTATCCTTCAGCTTTATACAGTGCACTGGGCCAGGCTCCTTGAAACTGAGCTGCCCAGCCTTCCACAGATGCATGACAGCAAAGTGCCGAGTTGATTTTTTTTGGTGAACTTGTTACTAGTGGGTCAAGAGAGGCCATTTGGATGATTCAATTCGTGCCAGACACGTTGAGCTTCAAATCGGATGTTTCCTTTTGTCTTTAGCGTTCCGACTTTGCTCTCTTCTCCACAATTGCATCCCTAGGAAGTTCTACTTGCAAGAGTATGCCGAGACCAAAGCAAAAGGCACTGCCTGTCTTGCTAAATAAACGTGGAATTTGCCGGCCGCACCGATTTCGCTAGCTGCCTGATTGTTGCTTGCCATTCTGGAAGATTGATGTGGACGATTTCTCAAGCATGTTGTGTCCAGATCATTTTTCGCATTCTCCTTCACGTTTTAGTTCAGGACACCAACCGGACTAGGGCGGCCAAGTGTCTTTTCTTCTCCAGGTGAGTTGGTCGTCACCGCCGCCTGCTGTGAAAAACTGATGACGGTGGCGGTAGCTCCGCACCAGGTGTGACGCGGCCGGGTCGACACACGGCGGAAGACGGGCCAAGAATATCAAGCAACAACTACTCAAACTATACTCTTATAAATTTTATGATGTTATAGCACTGTTTCTGTCTTCTCCAAACAGTCTGTCTACACACCAAGAGGTTCTGGTTGTAAGTGTAAAGGCCGGCTTTTGAAGGGGGGATACCGGACGCCTTTGGTCGCGAACTTTTCGTGTGGGCAGCTGGCGCAAGAGTTGTGTTCCAAGTTTCCAAAGGGCCTTTCGACTGCACAGGCATGTTTTAGTTTAGCATGTTTGGCAGCTGGTTTTATCGAGGGTTGCTCTCGTTGTGGTGAATTAAACATTTAAGCTTCCCGTGAAGCCCGTTCCCAGTTACAGCAATTGTTTCCAGCAATTTGGGTTTATTTCCAAGATTAGAACACTGGGAACTGGGACCTCAATGGTTTTCCTAAATACCGGCAACAATATGGCACCTCAGCTGGTTGGGTTCGCTTGCCGAAATGATGTCTTTTTTGTTGAAAACATACTTTTATGTTTTCTGTGCATGGTCGCAATTGGGAGGTTTATGGCCCACGGGACACGCTCTATTTGCCCAACTTCATGGAGACCGCCGCCACAGGACACAGGGTCATCCAGGTCATTTCGCACCACATTGTGAGGGAAAGTTCTCGGAAGTGGAATGGCGACGGAATATCAAAGCAACACAGCCCTTTTGACACGAAGGTGGCAAGGATTAGTTTGGTTTCTTGTTTTTCGCCGTTGGCCAGGAAAGCTGCGAGTTTTTGGCAATGGCATTTTGGCCAAATTTGGAGTCATCCAAGATCTTCAACCCATTCGGCAACGTGAATATCAGTCTCCTTTCAAGGCAGGATTGGCCGAATGACTCACTTGTCTCTGATGATCCGAGGCAAAAATCGAGTTTGCTTCACCTACGTGGACAACTACTGTCATGGGCTAATCCTTGGTGAACGAGCTTTGTTTCAGGCACTGGAAACACTTTAGTTTTGGAAACAACAGAACAATTTGGCATTATATATTTGTAAGCATATGATGCTGGCAGGGCAGCCCGGCTTTGGGAAAATTTTACATTGTCACAGATGGAGAGCCTCGGATTAAAGCAGCGGTTTCGCCCAAGATCACAACTCAAGGACTTGTTCAATCACACAAACTCGAACAACATTGAGAACCCCCGAAAAAGGATTCAATCACAACATGTGAGGAGGACAAGGACATACAAAGACATGATATACACGTGTGCTTTTTTGTCTTTAAGGACACACATCCCCACAAGGAGGGCTACGCATACTTGTGGGAGGAAATGGATCGTTTCTTGGTGAAATTAAGCTGATTTGCAGTATTGATACAGTACTAAAATTGCCGAAGTCACAGATGTTTGCTTTCCCGGGAGCCTCACTTCATTCTTCGGTGATATTCTTTCATCCGCTGGATGAAGGCTTTGCTGTGGGCTTGGGCCTGGCTTCAGTCCTAAAGAACCTAGGCTTTCTTAAGTTCGATCCATTTTGTGCTGTCTTCGATTCATTCGCTTGTTGCGATTTGCTTCACAGGCAACTTTTTGGCGAATGAATCAAGAATCCGGTCAATCCTTGTGACAGATTGCATCCTGCTTTGCCAGGAAGTTTCATCTCCCACAGGCCCCTTCCGACGCGCGTGCCTAGTACAACGTGTGCTTTTGGCGTGACAAGTGAAGTCGAGTCGTGTTGGATCTTTTTGGACGTCACGTTCACGGCTCTGTGAGAAGCCTGGTTGATTTTCTTGTTACTAGTAGTAAGAATGCTCCTAGTAGCGATGCCAGGAGCCCCTAGTAGCGTCCTTGCTCCTAGGAGCCCCTAGTAGCGGCCAGGAGCCCCCAGTAGCGTTCTTGCTCCTAGTAGTATGGCCAGGAGCCCCTAGTAGCGTTCTTGCTCCTAGTAGTATGGCCAGGAGCCCCTAGTAGCGCTCTTGTTACTAGTAGTATGGCCAGGAGCCCCTAGTAGCGTTCTTGTTACTAGTAAACCAACCTATAAAGAACCCCCAAACATGACTTTTCCCGTTTGTGTGTGAACTGTCATGCTTGTGGGACAACCCGAACTGATGGTCCGCCTCCAGTTCTTCATGTATTTCCTGGCATACGTGTGCAACGTCATCACCTTCTTCACAGGGACCAAGATGACACCTGGCAAGATGTGGCCTGTCATGTCCGAATGCTCTAGAACACTGACCAGTCGACTGGTTTTTGTGACTCGTACTGAATCATGTGCAAGTGCTTTTGTCTCTTGTCACTTGCTGTGTCCAGCATCAAATCTTTGTGGCTTTGTATAGTGATTCACTATGAGTAAGTCACGGATTGCTGGGTCAAGGCCAAAGAAAACATTAGGTTGGAGGCCATCGCATCTAGGTAGGGGGGGCAGAGCGGCCTTTAAACATGTTTGCGGAGTGATTTGCTCATCGGCCCGGACGCCGAACTTGAGCTTGCGCAGTGACGAAAGCTGAGGAAGCTGAGCCCGTTCAGCGTGAAGATGCTGGTGATGCATCGATGGTTTCGTGCGAGTCTCAGGCAATGCCTTGCCGCTGAAGGCATGTGCCTCCAGTGATCTACGACGTTTACAGCGGCTACTGTATACATTGTTGTGAATTTGGTGTAAGGCGAAAGGGCTTGGCCTTCCAGAAGTACTCGTTCATCTCTGTGAGATCATATATTACAGCAGTATCAACATGGTTACTCACAAAACCTCATCTGGACTCTCACAAGTAGAATTGATGTTGCTTTTGTTTTCCGCTGTCTTCTTTGCTCAGGTACTGATAGGTCCAAACAGGACTTCTGAGTGACAATTGTTGCTGCTGGTTCTGCATATGGCATGGACCGAGAAACTTAGGGAAAGACTCTAGAGATCTTTTGAGCCCTTGATGGAGAGTTCAAGTGCTGCAAACGAAGCTACTAGTAACAAGTGCATCGCGACTAGTAACAAGTGCATCCGTACTAGTAGCAATTGCATTCCAATGAAACAGAGATTCCATGGCCTCTCCTGTTGTGTGGGGAAGGATTTGGGCTATGAGCCCATCATTTCATTCAGAGAAGGCTGGGATGATTCCATTGAAGCTTGGCTTGGCATGTCATTGGGAAACATGCGCTCGCGCAGCGCACGTTGACTGACTGTGTTGTGGCACAGGGAAGATGCTTCATTCTTTGATCAAATGTATGCATGTGCTTCAGGGAATGATAGTCATAGGAGGGTTTCCACCTGCTTCAACGTTTGGCCACGTCACCTCTGAGGATTGGTTTCGTCGCTGCTTGACTGAACTCCGATTTGATTTGGAGGCTCAACCTGTGCTGCGAACATCTCAGGTGAGTGGCTTCCGAAGTATCTGGACAGAACCAGAGCAAGTAGCCACTTGTTCAAACACTTTCGCAAGTCTCTTAGCTTTCTATGTTCGTCAAATCTACAGCCTCAATAGCAGCAAGGAGTACAGCTTCCTTACCTTTGTTTTGAAACATGTTATGTTCTTGAAGCCTATCACCAGAGCAAGTGCTGTATAGTAGGCGGGTCTTCCTGGAGGCTTTTGACCCTCTCATGATCTCTGATATTTTAATATAATTTATCATAGACAAATTCCATAGCATTTTCTTTGCGTATTTTGCTCAATCTCGGATTGCTTTCTGACTCAGGTTATGGTGTGATTCATCACGGATCACAGGCAAAGATCGACGGGTGCCTCGTAGATATGGAAGGGGTTACCGACTTCCCGTGCGACGATGCAACACTCCGTTCGGATCATCTGAGGCAGAACAAGAAGCGCTCCGAGTAAACGCTCCCGAAAAGCGCGACTTGGCTGAAACGGCTCAAGTTGGGCGTTCTATTTCGGGGTGCAGCCGAAGTCCGCTGTTCCGGAAGTTGAAGCAGGTGAAAAGACTCGTAATTATCTAAGGTTGCTGAGGTTACCGATCGGCTGAGTGGTGCAAGATGCCCACAGAATCTCTTTTTCTTTGCTGCGGCTGAGCGCAGCTCAACATTTTCCAACTAAAGCTGGCAGAAAGTGATCAGTGTTTGCCTCCTGTCACTGCCTGGCTTAAGATGATAGGAAGTATGGATGCTCTGCCAACATATTGTCTGCGTATGTCGTATGTTTATATATGGCAAATAGCACATGGAATGTGCAAAGGCCAGTCATGTTGGCTCAAAGTTGGCAGAAACCCGTCAGTGTGCCTTGCGCACTGTGTAGTTTTGGCATGGTTTTTCAGTCGTCGCATGAATTGGCCTGGTCACAGCACCGAGAGAGGATCGGATGAAAGGAGTGTGTGAACATTTTGTTGAGCTAACTTTTTCCGCAGAACCAATGGACGATGTTCTTTCTTGGTTTGTTGGAGTTCATGCTACTTCATGTTGTTTTTTCTTTTCCTTCTGTTTCCACATTCAGCGCACTTGAACCACATGTTCCAAAATCCTCTGTGCGGGCGAGAGATCAGCTACTTGGTGGAGAGAGTGCAAGGACCACAGTCCATCAACTGGATGCGGAGTGCTGGAGAAAGGGCAACAAGACAGCCGATGCAGTACCCCGCGCAAAGGTAGGAGTCAAAGACGCAGGGCACAGGTGTTTTTGGACTTGGTTGCCCTTAAATGCGGCTTCACAGGCATTTTCCTTCGTCTCTTAGACAAACAATATCCGTTGTCAAACTAGGGCTGCTGATAGTACCTGCTTTGCTTTGGGGATAGGTTGTCAGGTTCTCTTGTGCAAATGTGTGGTTATGTGTGGTTTCATGGTTGGTGTAGTTGAAAGAAGAATTTGACAATGTTCCCGCATGAATATATTCTCGTGTTTGTCATTGGTTCTTTTGTTACGATTGGGTGTGCAGTGTCCCTACCAGAATCGTTTTTTGCGGGGCTTCTTCGCGGCGGATGCCCGTGTTTTGGACGAACAACACATTGACATTTGCACCCTGTTGTGCGACAGTGTTTCTTTCATCGAAGTGTATCAGGATGTTTTGACTTGTTGGTTGATTTATACGCCGGCTATTTCTGTAAGCATTTGTCGGAACTTCGAGAGCTGGGGATCGAAAATGGAAAGCGTAAAGGTTGCGCTGTCCAAACCGGTTCGGGTCCACTCTCACGCCGACTTCACAAACATGTTAAGGAACACATTTCAGGAGATCCGAATCTGCTTGGCTTGCACAGCATCCCTTGTGTTCAAAAAAATCAATTAAAGGACAAAACCGTTTGCACAGTCACGAGCCTGGTGGGATGTTCGTTTTTGCATTGCTGTATCTTGGTTAGATTAGATGTGCATTATGTTGTCACTCAGCTTTGTTCGCTCTAGCCACATGTTCATTGCTGTCGCATGATTGTCATCGATACCACCAGGTTGTGATCAGCTTCAGAGTGTACAAACTTGCGGCGTCAAGACACGCTTAAACATCTTCAATCAAGTACGATTGTCCGGGTGGGGTCCAGTACCCGCTGGGGCTGGGCCTGTTCCGGGCCCCTTGCTTTTGGGCTCGCCAACTTGGAGGTGATTTTGGAGTCCACAAAAGCTAGCGCTGTGTTTGGACATCCGCTACACTTCTCGCATAAATACGCACCTTGTTTTTGAGGCGAACTTATGCAGCGCGATCCAATTCCTTTTGTGAGTCTTATTTGTGTGCGAACACAAAACACAACTTTTTGACACCGTTTCTGCATCACCACAAAGAGGGTCTTTGTATCAATGGTCTTCAAGATGCGCTGACCGCACAATTGTTTCCGTACCCATGTGTTGGAATGCCGTGGATATTTTTTACTTGTTGAGCGTAGGAAATAGGATATCAGGTGTGACTCATGTGGTCGGATGTTTGCATTGACCAAAATCCAGAAGCCTGCGCATGTTTCGCAATGTGCGATGGTCTTAATGTGTTTATATAGTCACTGAACACAACCTTTACACGAGTTTTGGATAGGGATTCCTTTCAGATATGGCCAGTTTTCCACATCAAAAGGTTCTTTTTCGGTAGGAAAAACTGCCGGTCATGCGTCGCTTCGCTAGTAGGACTATGTTGCCCGCTCCGAGGCCGAAGAATGTCTTGGGCAAAGAGGCCGGTCCATCCCACGCCCGGACCCCAAACGACATTGCTAGGTTGGAGGCCATCGCTTCTAGGGGCAAGGACGCTACTAGGGGCTCCTGGCCTTACTACTAGGAGCAAGGA